GGAACAAGACTTGGTTAGGAAGCACGTAGTAATTATCCATGTTTCTATTTACTATATACATAGAGAAAGGTCATGCATAATACTTTAATAGAAAATGGAGTAGAGATTTAAAAATACTACCATTTGAGTTTTCATGCAAACACTTCAATATTTTCACTCACGTATTAAATAAAACAAAGAACTCAAAATGCTAACTAATTCTGTTAGTGTGACTAAATCTTCCAAAAATATATTGGGGAAAACTCAAAATTGTATAGTACATAAGGTCTACGAAATCTTATTTATTATTTATCATACATGTCAAGATGCTCATGGTTAATATCAACTTAAGCATTTGGAGATTATTTAGGCCCAATATATATTAACTTAAGGTATCAGAGAACCTGGTATTTATGGCATCAGGTTATAAAGAAATTTTATTGAAAATAATCTTTGTCAAAGTCAACACTGGAAACGAAAGTTGAATTATTCCTGAATGAGACATAAAGCTCTTCTTGTTAATAGGAAAAATTTTGTCCTATGGGCATTACTATTTTCTTTTATAGTTTTATAGTTTTTCTTTTATATTTCTTTGTTAAAAGCAAAGCTTAAATATGTTAGAGATTACTTTGTACATTTATCATTCTATTAGTAAACATCTTAGTAACTGAGGACTACTATACAATGATTTAGAAAATTCATTTTTATATGCATGTGATAAGGTTGAGGTCAGCCTACAGCCACTAGAACAGGATTTGGGGATAGGGATATTGAATGTGACAGGGTACAATAAATTTATACTTTATCAAAACAAAAATATTCTTAAATAATACAGTAATTTTACTCTTATACTATAAACCCTCATATTCATTGACTATCACAGAAAAATACTGTAATGCTTTAAACAAAACATTAAGACACATGAATGACCAGCAAGTTTCAAACAAAATACAGTGATCAAAATATTTAAATGTCTCTTTATCAAGCTTTTAGAAACATAGTCAGTCTTCACTGTCTGAGCTAATCAGTTTTAGTTTCTTCATAGTCCTCCATCTGTCTTTTAACATAACGCTTGTGCGATTTTTGAATTTATAATGTAATAGTATTTTAGACCATTTTCCCTCTCCATATTTCTTCACCCCAGATCTCAAATTCTTGTCTTCTTCCCAAAGCCATGCCTGTTTTTTTCTAGACTGATGTTTCTCAGGAGTTACTGCTTGACTCTTTGAAATACGTGATACCCTGCTTTCAGTTACTCTTCTCTCTATCTTTCTTTTACTTTGAAGAGTTCCTATTCTTTCTTTATTCTTATTAAGGTCTTGTTGCTGGTTTCCATATTTCAAATTAGATAAGAAGAGATTCTTGTGAGACCTTGATAAGGATAGTGTACCCCCTGAGGATTCAGTTACTGCAGACTGTGTGTCATTCACACTTTTTCCTCTATCCAAATTAGCTTCAGTTTCCATTTCAGTATCATTACCATTAGGTTTGTCTTCAGAAGTTATTGTCCTTGTTCTTTTACTTTCTACTACTTTTGCTGCTGCCTTCATGAGAAAGGTTGATGACTTTTCATTTACTACATCGTTCACATAAGTCTTAATTTTATCCATCATGTGATTGAAGCTGAAGTGTTGAAAAATGGAATGGTATGTATCTTTCTGAGAGATTATCACAAGCAATTTCCTCTTTAAAGGCGTGTAAGAATCCGGGTCATCAAATATTCTTTCAAAGACTTCTTCTGCTTCCTTAAAATTGCCATTTTCCATACAAACAGCTATAGCCTGTATTTTAATTAAATTCTGTATTTCTTCATGAAGTTTGTCATGTTCCTTTTCAACTGAATCCCAAATCATCAGGGCTGATTCCAAAGGTGTAATTCGTTCATCAGTTTCAAACTGTGCATC